GGTGGGCCCATGGGAGGAAAAAAAAAAACTGGGTCATAAGAAACAAAAATAAAAATGAAAATTGGAGGTTTTATGCCTGAACCACAGTGAAGTGGAATAAAATAATGTGTAATGATGTGAAAGGAACTGTGATAAAGAAGATGTGTGTGCATTGAAGCTGTTAGTCGTCTAGACAGACACTTGTGAATACTGAAAACTGTGTTTTTATCTGGCAGCGGGGAAAGAATCACCGTTTCACGTTAATTGTCATCTTATGTTTATTTTTATGTTCATGTTTGTTCATTTGTAGTCTATTATGAATAGGAAGTAATGTGTTCACTTCATATAGTTAATCTGTTCACTATAGTTAATTACTGCTAAGATGTGAGATGTTAGAGAGCTGTTTGGATGAGTTGTTATGTTTCATTAGAGTATGTGATAAATCCTTTGCTAAGGATAAAAGTGTTAACTCTGTAATAAGAATTGATTTTAGATTTGACTTTAAATGTAGCAAGAGGTTAATGTTTAACTAAAAGTGTTAGAGTTTACAAGTGTTACAGTCTCAGACAAACATGTTTAGGTTTTGGCTTTTCTCTTTGATTTTGGTCTGTTTCCTTGCAGAGTTTAGGAGGAGGGACAGTAGTGTTTCAAGTTACAAGTTAATATGTAATGTAATAGAATACCATCAGAGTGGGTAGATTACACACAAACAGTACATTTGTAGCTGAACAATGCTTACATAATTGTGGCAGGCTTTGACCTTTTTTGTTCTGAGAATAGGGTGTGTGTTGAACGAGTGCTTCGGGGAGACGATCAGTCCGTTTCCTGTTTTTGAGCACATTTCAGAGGGTGTTTTCCATATAAGAGAAGACAGGAAGCTATGTTCGGGGACTGACGTAAGAGCCAAAAGAACTGTGAACATAAAGAGGTATAATTATTGAACTGGGGGAGAGTGTGTGCATTCGGGAAGACAGACGGAAAGCGAGGAGCCGGTCGAGAGGGGACTGACCTGACTCTGGACTGACTGGACTGTGTGACCAAAAGTGACTGACTCATTCTGTAACAATCCTCTTATCTAGTGTTTTTATTTGTTTCTCTGCAGAGATGGTGATTTTGTTCCATATCTTTAAGACTACTGAATTGCCATTCAGATTATTGAACTGTTCAGAATTCATCATAATAAATGATCACTGGAACTGGAATGATTTGCCTGAAATAATTTAGTTCACATCAGACACTGCCCACCACACCACCACTATGCATCACTAACTGTGTGTCTCTTCTCTCCCGTAGTGTGTCTTCTCTCTCTTCCTGTACCTTTCTGCAGGTAGCCCTGGCCCTGGAGCTCTACGTTTATGATGAGCATTCATCAGCCACATCAACCTGCCCAATGCTTGTTTGTTTGTTGTTGTGATTTGCTGCTTATCTTTTCTATTCTCTCTCCTCTATCCACTCACCCCAACCGGTCAAGTCAGAAGGCCACCCACCAAGAGCCGGGGTCTGCTGGAGGTTTCTTCGGTTAAAAGGAGTTTTTCCTCCCAGCTGTCGCCAAGTGCTTGCTCAAGGGGGATTTGATGGGTTTTCCACTATAATAATGGTGATAATAGTAAGGTCTACACCCTACTCTGTAAAGCGCCCTCAAACTACTTTTGTTGTGATTTGGCCTTATACAAATAAATTTCAATTTTTTTTTTATCGACAGTAAATTGACAATTTAATTGACAGTAAAGTGATGGTGCGTGTAGCTGAGGGAAGGAAAAGAGGGGTTTAATATTGTAATTTTAATGGTAATGAATAATTTGATTATAATAGTAAGCACAGTATTAGCAATATTCCCATTAAAAGCAAGTGGTTGACAGGCTGACAGGTTTCACAGACATAAAACAACAGCTGCAACAGTGAAAGAAAAGAAGAAAAAAATCATTCTAATGGAATAATAAAAGTAGCAACATAACATTAATGATAGTCCTAACAGTTATTTACACTCAACACAATTATAAACGCAGCACTTTTGTGTTTCCCCCCATTTTTCATGAGCTGAATTCAAAAATCTATGACTTGTTCTAGTATGTACACAAAAGACCTATTTCTCTCAAATATTGTTCACAAATCTGTGAAGATGCTGATTAGACAGCATGATTATTGCACAGGTCAGAACCCTTTAGAGATTGTCTTTCTTATTCTAAAATTACTGTTGGTCCATACAGAACATTGTAAATAACAAAAGACTATCTTAAGTAGATGGTCATACAGAAGGACAGTGATAGAGAAGAATGTGTTTTATTCCGGTTCCAATGGGTGTTAGAAACTGGCCCTGAAAAGTATCTAGCATTAGTAAGTTATCTTAAAATAATTGGGCCAAATTTTATGAAAAAAAGTCAGATTTTCATTTTCTCTAGTGTAGGTTCAAGAGTTTTTTTGCAAATATAACTTAAAATTCTTAATGTATTACAACTGACACTTAAAACATACTGGTTTAAACTTCTGTACAAACAAAGAAGCTTCTTGCAGTGCTTCAGCTGGTAACCACAAAGTCTGTGAACAGAAAGCAGGATGTCTTTGGGGTGTTCAGTATGTCTGGACTTCCTGTTGAACCACTTCTAGAAGGAGCTGCAGCTCTAAGCTGCAGTAGTCTGGGAAAGGGGAAGAGAATCAGAGTTATTTTCCCTGGTCGATCCCAAACCCTCAGCTCTGGGGTTAAAATAATAGCTCAGGGTTAATACAGTCTTATGCAAAAGTTTAGGCACCCCTTGATAAATAACAGACTTTGGTGATTTTTTTATTTGAACAGATGTTAACACAGTTTCTCTTGGAAATGGAAAAAATGCACAATATTTTCAGCAAACAGTGATGCATAGTTACTTCTTATGCCATAAATTGAACAAAAATAAAAAAATAAAAACATTATTATGGCATGGTGCAAAAGTTTGGGCACCCTATGCTGTGTAATATTTACCAACATTCTGCATTTGGAGAACACTTTCAGTAAGGTTTCTGATTTAGCTCCAGGTCTGTGTTTTGTCTTTAACTGGAAAAAGTAAAACACAAACGCAGGAATAACAGGGTCTTTGTTCTCCATTAATCTAGTGTGAAAAGCAAATTTGTTTTTTATTATAAACAAACTTACCCATTTGCTAAAAGCAAACAAATTTCACTCATTAAACTACATATAAATATGTCAGCTTTGATCCAAAATGAGCAGGCATATTAAATCATTCAATTTTAAGCTCCAGGAAAGTTTCATTTCTTTTACAAATATTGAAAATAAAGATGAATATTCTTCCACCAAAATGAAATTTCCCACATTAAATGGCTGTTTAATCTAGTGTGAAAAGCAAATTTGTTGTTTGTTGAGACATTTTCTGTTCAAACTTTTCACCAAACACAAGTTGGCAGATCTCAGTATGACTTACTGAAGCTGCGTCTCCATCTGTGGGGCAGGCGGAAGCGGTGGACAGTCAAATAATAAACTGGGACTCCAGTCAGTGTGAGAGCACAGCTTATCCCTGTGTTCCAGGGGTCTGAATACAGAGACATACCCACAGTGAAGAAGCAAACCACTGTGAAGATGAATGTGATGGCCACGGGCACCTTTGGGTTATTAGACAAAGCAAATAACATTTGGTCAGGCTAGTGTGCAGATGGATAAGAAATGCTTTGCAGTTGAGTGCTATAACTACTGGCAGGCTAACTTTGAAAGGTCTTGGGTGGAGGGGGAAGTGGTACCGATGGATGAGCATCCCCAAGGTTGCCAAGGCCATGAAAAACCAGCTGCCAAAGGAGACAACATTGATGAGCTGGTAGATCTCTCCAACGATCACAATCAACACAGTCAAGGGGTACTGGAGACACAGACAATACAGCTGTAGTGACATACCACCATTCAGTCCAAGTCTGTTGTAACTGTTTTATACAGTGACATAGAGGATAGTAAAGCACAGTGATTAAAAAAGACATTGCTGGATTTCCTTATACTGTTGCTTTACAGTGTGAGGGATGTACTTTACCAGTAACAGCACAGCAGGCAAAGGTGTATGTCTGTGAATGTGAATCATGGAAAAGATTGGTGGCCAGTGGCCCTCCCTGGCTCCTACAAACAGCATCCTGCAATAGAGACAGTAGGACTTGAGAATGGACCTGCCAGAGCCCTTAGTTGAATTGAAGCATTTATGTCAAATACATTACCTGGATCCTGCAAAGAAGTCACTATTAAGTGTTCCAAGGCAGGATAGAGCCACAAGAACGGGAATCACAGCAGTCAGTCCGTGGAGCATGCGGTTGGCAAACATCTGCAGAGACACAGACACTGAATCAGACCAACACCCCAACATACTGTTCCTTATTCATGCCCTCTGATCTGGTCTTTTGATTTCAGAATGCTGTACAGTGTAGCACTGACCACAGCCACGGCATCAGACAGCAGCAGCTCAGCAGGAGATATCATGGTGTAGTAGGCCACATTAACAAGCACATAAAAAACTGTCACTGTCACCATGGAGCAGATTATTGCTAGTGGGATGTTTCTGACAAGACAGGATACAAACAGAGATGTATAATTATATTTTCAAGGCAAGACAGATTTTATAAATTGATTAACTAGAGAGCAAATGTCAGATGCAAAATACCTATTTGGGTTTATGACTTCTTCTGTGACATAGTTCA